TGCAAATAATAGCGACGTAGTAAGCGAAGAAGCAGCAGCACCCGGTCGATGTGGAATCCTGATGGGTAATGTCGGCTACACCTTGTAAGGAGGAACACATCAACCAAACCAATTCCTCCTCGTCACTGTCTTCATCCTCGATGTGCTCCTCCTTTTGCTCATCGATTGCTTCGTTTCGATCAGCATTCTTTGCTCTTCTTTTGACGCTTCCGGCGTGAACAAATCTGATTCATTCTCGAAAACACTCGCACCGTGCTTCTGGCTCCGTGATGAAAGCTGTATGGAGAGACGTGAGCTAGCTTTACAGTATTTCTTCTTGCAGTTTTCACTTCAGCATTTCTTTGCAGTCCTTCAAGCTGTTGGATAGATCAGCTTCTGCATTTGCCATCTCGCCGTACTCCTTCTTCAGCTTTCGGTAATTTGACCTCGTCCTTGCGGGGCTTCTCTCTCCCGCAGTAACCTGCTCTTGAATCGCATTGCACTTCACGCGGACCAAAAGACCTTTCTCCTTCATTGCAGTAATTCGCTCACGCGCGCGTCGAATCCTCTCGTTTTCGCCGATTCGATATCCTCCCCAATCTTCTTGTAAGACTTGCTCATTCTTTCGGTGGGGCTGCTCCGAAAGTTACGCGAATCTTTGTCACTGTTCTTGTTTTAATCACGAAGCAAATTACTGATTAAACGAAACAGCTGACCAAGATTCGCGTAACTTTCAGAGCAGCTAAAAGAACACCGAAAAGAATGAGCAGGCCCTAAAGAAGATTGAGGAGGATATCGAATCAGCGAAAACGAAGATTAAACGCACGCGTGAGCAGATTACTGCAATGGAGGAGAAAGGTCTTGCAGTCCGCGAGAAGTGCAATGCGATTCAAGAGCAGGTTACTGCGAAAGAGAGAAGACTCCGCAAGGACGAGTCAAAGTACCGAAAGCTAAAGAAGGAGTACGACGGGATGGCAAGTGCAGAAGTTGATCTATCCAACAGCTTGGAGGACTGCGAAGAAATGCTGGAAGAAAACGCAAAGAAGAGACATACTGGAAAGCAAAACTCACGTCTCTCCATACAGCTTTCATCACGGAGCAAGAAGCACAGTGCGAGTGTTTTCGAGAATGAATCAGATTTGCCCGCTCGGAAGCGTCGAAAGAAGAGCAAGAATGCTGATCGAAACGAAGCAATCGATGAGCAAAAGGAGGAGCACATCGAGGATGAAGACAGTAACGAGGAGGAATAGGTTTGGTTGATGTGTTCCTCCTTACAAGGTGTAGCCGACATTACCCATCAGGATTCCACATCGACCGGGTGCTGCTGCTGCTTCGCCTACTACGTCGCTATTATTTGCAATTGTCTTAATCTCTCCAAAAGTATCCGTTAAGACAGGTTATCAGTCTAAAAAGTGTTACCATCGGCCGGTGTTATTGTGTACACGTCTTATCCATTACTTAAGCAAGTATCAGTTAGGACAGGCAGTATCAGATAAGCAAGTTTTTCTGTCGTTTAAATCTGGCCATTGTCTCTTCTCAATGTTGAGACGTGTGCTTGGACTAAGCTTGCCGACTATGATGCAAACTGGGGACGTTGCTGCCAACACTGACCACAGTCGTGAGCTGCGCCAGGAGCTAGACGTTGTGGAGGAGACGCTGCGCCTCTTACTTCAGCTTGTGCTGGCACCTGTCAAACTGGCATCTGCAAGCTCACTCGAAACAGCCGCGGTATGGCTACTCGAGCGCGAGATCATGCACTGGCTGACACTAGGCCCGTTTACGCGTAGGGAGGTAATTATGTGAACAGATATGAAGTTGGTGGAGCAGATTAAGCAACTTCTAGTGCACGAATGGGTAGAGCTGGAAGAGGAGGAAACTCTTACCCATGTGCTGGAGAACGTCGGTGTACATGACGACCCAGTTGGAAGCAGTAGTGGCTCTCGTACTTCTCGAAGCGGCAGCGTTTTGGGATGCGGACTCAAGATGAGTGGGTTGTGAAAATTGAAGCCCGATCTGTGGTCTCGAGTGTCTCCTCTGTTTGAATGTTTCACGCCATCTGAAGCACAGCAATGCGCACAAAACACCCGCAATAGTGATCTTAGGTTAAGTGGCGGAAATGATATCTCGACAACATCGGCTGTTCTGTCCATGTTGCCTTGTGCACAATTTGAGGAGCGTGTAGCGCTGACATGCATGGTGCGATCGCCGAAACGATGTTGAATTCGTCGTATATGGCCAGCGTTTTGCTCGTCATTTTTGAGAACTACAAGCGTAAGATTGTCGCACAGCACCAAAGCGAGCAAGTAGACAGCGACGATCAAGACAGCACCACCGAAAGTGTGTTGTTGTCGAGAGCAAACTAAAACTGGACGGCATTTCCAAATGCTTCGAGAAAGAGAGCAGCTTATTCTTTAAACTTTGTACCGAGATACCGCTAAAACCCAATGCTGAGTACAAGGGGAACGAAGCAACAACTTCTTCATGTAGTTTGTTGTCGCTGCTGTACTATTCTTCGCTGAACACAAAAGGGGGGTGGAGGACTCGCGCTTTATGGTGAACATGATTCTTGCATCGCTAACATGATTCTTGAATCACTACGTGAAAAATCGGCAGCCTGCTCACAGTATATTGAGCAAAAAAAGCTGGATGCCCAGTCGATAGATCGTATCAATGACTCCAGCCCTGATCGCGTTGGTCGATGGGACAGCTTCGACACACGTGGCGAACAACCAAAGCCTATTGCAAAAGAGATGATAAGACGACGGCAGCAACAGATATTAGAGAAAATGCGGTCACAGCAGTTGCAGTTTTTGTCTTGCAACAGTGACAAATTGGTAGACGAGACCACGGAAAGTAATCGTAATGTTACCGAGTTTCGTGCCGTGATGTGGACTCTAATAGCGACAGCTATGACGAAGCAATGGAGTCGGATGAGTATGTGGAAGAAGACCATGAGGAAGAGAAAGATGAATGGGGGCTTCCTACTGGTCAGGTAGATGTGCGTTTGTATTTGGATTATGTTTCCTCAGCTATCGCTAATATGAGGGAATAGCAACGGAAGTGTCAAGACCGAAAATTCGTGCCGTGGCACCACCCACTTCATCATTCTGGCGTTCTTTGTCGTGTGTGTGCGAGTCTCGTGTATATCTTGGACGCCAAAGTGACGGTGCTGTCCGGTGTTTTCGCACTCGCTTTCATGAGTGTACCTCATTCTTCTACATTTTCTACAGCAATCTTGAAGACTGCATTATGCTTGGCGAGCGTTTTTTGAGCGAAACACAATTTGAAGTACATCACTCTTCGCAATATTGTATTAGGCGGTCCTCCACTCAGTCGCAGGTACGCTGCATGTCCAATCAACCCGACTTCTTTCTCGGAGTGGGACATCACTAGACAAGCACCAGTTTCCAAAAAGCATTGATGCTGAGCCCTTCTTCTGACGGCTGTTCATTTGCTTGACCTTCACTTCTCCTTCCTTTCTGCCTTAATCTCCTTGGCCTCTGCTGCAGCAGAGGCTTCGAAGCTTGCGTCCGTTGTTTCCTGCAAAAAGCAATGCGGCCGTAGCTTCTAGACTTTGTAATCCAGGCCATTAGCTACGCCAGAGCGACAGTGAAACATCAAGAACGACAAGTTTTAGTATCCACTGATAATGTTAAGCAAATCACGCTCCTTTTTAAGCTGCAGGTAAAGTACTTTTTGCCGTCCTGTCTTCATCATCTGTAAAAAAGTCCATTCCACGTGTAACCCCGTCACAGG